TATTAGAAAAGTTGAGAAAGGGGCCCCCAGCATGGCCTAGCAGCTAAAGTCCTGACCTTGAACGCGTCTGGATCCCATATGGGCACCGTTTCTAATCCCGACAGCTCCACTTCCCATCCAGCTCCCTGCTTGTGGCCTGGGAAAGCAGTCCAGGACAGCCCAAAGCCTTGAGACTCTACACCCATGTGGGAGACCTGGAAGAAGTTCCTGGCTCTTGGCTTTGGATCGGCATAGCACCAGCCATTGTGGTCACTTGGGGAGTGGGTCATTGTACAGAAGATCTTTCTCTCTGTGTCTCCTCCTCTCTGTATATCTGACTTTCCAATAAAAATAAAATAAATCTTTAAAAAGAAAAGAAAGAAAAGTTGAGAAAGGAGACTCCCATCCTAGTGACAGGAGGGGGCTCTGAGATAGAAAGGACCCTCACCCCCTGCCATAGTGGCAGGAGGAAAAGTGGAAAAAGAGACCCATATCAATGGTGGGGAAAGCATCTTTTAAAGGTTTACCTCAAACATGTTTCTCCATAAACCAAGAAAATTCCTGGTTTTCATGGTACCTGGCCCTGGGACAAAAAGCCAGAAAGGTGTCACTAGCCAACTTCCTTGGTCCCATTCTAACGATGAAGACACCGGTCTGAAGCCCTGCCCCTTGGTTGGGAGACAGAAATGGGCTGATGCTTCAGATGGGGAAATTCACAGCTTTCTCACTCCCGTCCTCCTGAGTAACCACACAGACTACCTTTCTTTTTATAGCAGAAAAGAATTCCCTGTGCTTCCAGTTCCATCCTCTCTTGACTAGATTCCACATCACCTCTTTCCTCCTGTTGAACATTCTCCATTCTATTGCTCCTAGCCTTTCAACCAAGCTGGCCCTAAGCAAGAACATTCCAAGCGGGAATAAACAGAAACCAAAAGATCTCTTGAGATCTTGCAGGAAGTCCATGCATTATTTCCACTGTATTTTTCTGGTCCAAACAAGATAGGGAGACAGCCCAGACTAAAAGGAAGGGGAAGGAGACTCCCCTTCTTGCTGGAAAAGCCTGCAAGAATTTATATCTATTCTCAATCCAGGTATTGGAGGAACTGTCAAAACCTAATCTGCTTAAAGCACCAAGTCTCGTTAGATTCTCCCTACACCTTCAGATGTTCTTGTCAACGTTCCGAGGGAAAACTGTGGCCCCAGCCTGGAGGTGTGTGAGTCATCTTCCTCCAGAATTCCCTTGCTCAATTTCACCTGCAATAATTACAGAGAATTATTCTTTCTTCTTTTCCAAACTCCTGCCCTTTTAGACACATCTTCATTTCTATGTCAAAATAGTTGCCAAGAGCAGTTGCAGAATCAAGAAAAGGTGGGAAAGGAAAAAAAATTGCTAAATATTATGAGAAAAATCACAAGTTATTTCAAACATTTCATTCAATTAAATCACAAAATATGTGGAAGTGATAGAATTTGAAAAGATCGTCTGTGGGAAAAGGTGAAGATTTAAATTATATTAACCAGTTTGGATGTAATTGGTAGACTCTGATGAAAGATATGTCTAAGATTGCATGGAAAATTGGGTGGGAAATAAACCTCATATATACAAATTGGCTATTAAGAATAAAATGTGATGAAATAGGGCCTTGAAAAGGGCAGTAGACCACTTAATGAGAAAAATGGTCTATAAGTACAGAAGGTATTCTAACCTGGAGAAACTGTCCTCTCTTAGTAGTGAACACAACAATTCCTTTGTAGGGAAAGCATCACCTTTATTAAGATGCTCTGGTTAGCTCCTTTGCAGTAAAAACAAATTAGCCATGCTTTAGTTTCTTGAGGAAAAGGGAAAGCATTTAGCATTTTTAAAAAGAGAACTGTTTAGCTTGAATGCATGCAAGAGAAAAAGTTGCTCGATATGAATGAGGGAGGAGGAGAGGAAGGTGAGTCAGGAGAAACTGTGGTTGAACTAGTCCGGAGGGAAACATTTAATGAGAATTCTAAATGCAACCCCTCTTTCCAAAAAAAAAAAAAAAAATCAAGTTTACCAAAATTCTTGAAATACTGCATGTGACTAAATTTTCTTCCTTCACACACTGTATCAGGAAAAAAAAAACTACTTGTAGCTAGCTTAGAATCACAAAAAAAGATGATAAAGTGGGGGGATTCACTGGATCTGCTTCTGAAACGGCAGCAGCGGGTGTGGAACCAGGAACTGAACAGACACCTTCAGCTTATCTCTCATCTTCAGCTGTCTCTGGATGCTGGTCTACCCATTGTGCCTTACCAAGGGCAGGGAACATGCCACGGCATGTCAAGCCTCAATGTCCACAGTTGCACCACCCCACTAAGTTCACATGGGTGTCATCAGACCAGTTCAGGTCAGATGACTAACGCAAAAGCAATCTCTGACCAAAAGAACAGCTTCCGCTACATAGTAGTGGAGGTGCCAGCCTTAATTTTAAAAAGCAAAGGAGAAGAGATGAGAGTCCTGACACAAGAAACAGTAAATGGCTGCCAAGTTTGAATGTCTGAGTTCCTGTAAATTTCAACTGAATCATTATCCCAGTGCAGTAATAGTCAGAAGTAGGATCTTGGGATGATGATTGGATAGGAGGATGTTGCCCTCACAAACAGTAGCAATGCCTATATACAGCTTCCAAAAGGCAATGGCGGATAAAGGAAACTAAAAGATAGCATGATCTTCCATCAACTTAATGAAGTCCCCTCCTACAGAAGGACTTTTGGGCCCCGTTGGCCTCTTCGTTGTCTTTCACCATGCGAGGGACACAGAAACAAGACACTTCTGGGAGAAATGGGTCCTTACCAGACAGCAACCCTGTAGCCCCCTGATCTTGGAATTCCCAGCTTCTAAAACTGAAAGTAAAGCATGTCTGTTGTTTATGAATTATCCAGTCTAAGTTACTTTGTAAGGGCAGCAGAAACAGACTCCAGAACCTAAATGGAAAACACTGATACAGGTCTCTTCTCCAACTACAGTGATGGTAAGAACTTTTCAACCAATACTTGGTATTCGGGCAGGGCTTACTAATTCAATGGCTAGATTCTTACGTTGCATATGCCGGAATCCCATATGTGCACTGTTCATGTCCCAGCTGTCCCACTTCCCATCTAGCTCCCTGCTTGTGGCCGAGGAAAGTAGCAGATGGCACAAAGCCTCGGGGCCCTGCACCCACATGGGAAACCCACAGGAGGCTCCTGGCTTCTAGCTTCAGATTAGTTCAGCTCCAGTTGTTCTTGCCACTTGGGGAGTGAGCTAGTAACTAGATCTTTCTGTCTCAGCTTCTCTCTGTAAATCTGCCTTTTCAGTGAAAATAAATAAATCTTAAACAAAATATTTGGCATTACAAAGATTCATTTGCTTTTCATTCAAGAAGCCATTGAAACCATATAATAATAAATTCTTTCCTTTGGCTATCACATAAATATTATGTCATCTTCTATTTTTTTCAAGTAGAGGTCCTTAGTAGGAAGTGACAAACTAAAAATCCACATGAGGAGACATTAGCCAGTATATTTAAAAATACCTAATTTTCACATAAATTTTCTTTGGGTTCTATTAGGCTTTGTTATATAATATATGCACATATTTCTGTAAGGCAATTTTTAAATTATATTTATTTATTTGAAAGGCAGAGCATTTGAGAGAGAGAGAGAGAGAGAGAGAGAGAGAGAGAGAGAGAGAGAAAGAGAGAAAGAGAGAGCTCCCACCCACTGATTCACTCCACGTCTGGCCATACCAGCAGGCTCTAGGCCAGACTGAAACCAGAAGACAGAAACTCCATACGGCTCTCCAGATGGCTGGAAGGGGCCCAAACATTTGAGCCAATGTTTGCTACCTCCCAAAGCACATCAGCAGGAAAGCTGGTCAGAAGTGGAGTAGCAGGCTTCAAACCAGCACTCCAATATATGATAGATGTCCCGCAAGTGGCAGCTTGACGAGCTAGGCAACAACACTAGCCCCTCTGTAATATCATCAATATATATAATTTTTCAAGAAAAATGTTGAACTTGTTTTTAATTACAGGTAGATGAAACCTGAAAGGGCAGACATGTTTTACCTCTTACACAACTAAAGCAAGCATAGACTAAAAGTTGGCTCTTCTGCCACATCCAAATAGCAGATACTAGCCAATTTGTCTCACACATAGTAAGACGCTACACCAATGGAATCTGCCTGACTTTCATCAACTGATCTCCAGACTTTCTTGCACATTTTTATCCTAAAATAGAAAGCAGTGAGAGTTCGGGACAACAACAACAACAAAAAAACTAATCAATATTCATCTTCAACAGTGAGAATCACACATAGCAATGACAGTCCTCTCATAAAGGTAACCCTTCACCCTCAGCTGTCCGTGATCCATATCCCAAGCTATCCATGCTTCTGTTAGGATGCTGTGTCACTCCCAGAGAGACAAGGGTCAGCCGTGCTTCCAGGCCGCTCAGCAGCAGGAAAGTTCTCACAGATTAGCAAAGGACGCACGCTGGCCACTGTTCTAGTAAATTACCAAGAAGGGTAGAAATCACAGAGCTACCTTCTTTCATGTCTTTCCTAACCAAAAGGAAAAAAAAAAAAAAAAGAGGGAAGGGAAGGATCCTTTTCCTTGTGCTGTTAGATGTCTATCCAGGAGGAGAATAGCAGAGACCAAAGAGGGGAAGAGGAAAAAAACAAAAGCAAAACAAAACAAAAAAACCTCACAGCAGAGAAGAGGAGAGGGAGCTGGAGGGAAACAAGCATTGAGATATGTTTCAAGGCCAGGCAATCACAGCGAACTCATCTGCTCTTATCCTTTTCAAGCGGGTAATTGCTTCAGAGAAGACCTGACACTCTTTTCTTAGCAGGTGTTCAAGTGCTAGTTCTCCAGAGGTTTTTTTAAACAGAATGTGCACTGTCTAAAACAGTCCTATCAGCAGTGAGAGTAGCTTTGTATTCTAGTCACTCGTATTGCACCTGCTATAGAAATACTCACATCACCAACCCAAGCAAAAATCTCGGCACTCACTAACAGAAGTCCAACGCCAAGGCCATGGGAGACAGAACCAATCACGAGGCTGTCCGACCCGCTCTGAAAACCACAACAGCAAGTAGTGATTTGATACTAGTCACGTATCTCTCCTGAACAGCAGCAGAAGTCTTGGGAGTTTTGATTGGCTTGTTGATTGGTTGGTTGATTTGGTTCCTTAAAACAATTGAAAACAATGCGGAATGTGATTGGACACATCAAATGAGGTATGTTACAAAGAACACGGAGTTATACATGGAGACATGCATACAGCATACACAAAGCTACGGAACAAATACAGCTATGGAGACATCCTGGTGTTCACTGCCAGCACCTCCTTACTGAAGACTGCTCTTCGGCCAGAGGCAGGCAAGGGAAGCCTGCCTACTCTGGCTCTGTATAGATCCACTGTTCTTTGGCCCATGCACATTAGTTACTAATCCCTTAAAGTGACACAGAACCATGCCTTAGCTGTACTGACCAATTCCAGTCACCAAAGCTGATGGATTTTCTCTGTCAAAAATTGTACAACATTCAGATCTATGAATTTTTCCACAATCACAAGCCCTTTTCTCAACTGCCTGTACCAACAACATTTTTTATTTTTTTTTCCCTCTACCCTTATTACAATTGATGTTAACAACCATCATTCCTTCCACCTCCAGCAAGGAGAAAACAATTTCTGGGCTAAGTGCAAACTTCAAGAACTCTTTTCTCATTACTCAAAATAAAAACAGTATTAGTGGACTGGCATTTGGCACAGTGTGTTAAGCCACTACTTTATGACACTAGCATCCCATTTGAGCCCTATTTCAAGTCACAGCTGCTTCATATCCAATCCTGCTCCCTGCTAATGCGCCTGGGAAAGGAGCAGAACATGGCCCAAGTTCTTGGGTCACTGCCACACACCTGGGAGACCTGGATGGAGTTCCTGGTTCCCAGCTTCTGCCTGGCCTTGCCCAGTCCTAGCCATTGCAGCCACTTGGGAAGTGAAGCAACAGATACAAAATCAATCTCTCTCTTTCTCTCTCTTTCTTTCTCTGGCACTTCCCTATGAAATTCCTGCAGGATCAGTCTTATCCTGCTGACTGGTTTTTGAAAGATCTGGACTAACACACTGATTCATATGCAGCATAAATTAGCAAATAATTATTTGCCTAACGAAATAAATAATGAATTCCCTTACAGCATCTTTTTTAGCTTCAAACTTTTTAAACTTCAGAATAGTACTGTGAATAATATGATAGATACTCATGTACCCAACATCTGTAACAGACTAAACTTCGTGTATTTTATGTACTTCAACTCAGAAACAATTTTTCAGGAAAATACCCAGGGATTGCTAAAGGACTGATATCATTGGACTGATACTCTGTCCCTGGAAAAAACACTGCTCTGTTCCTCTCTCCAATTGCCTAGGTGCTAAGACAACTCAGGAAAATTAGTTGTGTGATTCCTCAGGGCTATAAATAATGAAAATGCCAGGAGAGTGCAATGAGCAATCTGTAATCTGCACCGTTCGTCCTCTCTGTTTTCTTCTGGGGTCATTTGTTGATGAGCCTCTTTTGCCAATCCCCTTCCAGGTCTCTGTGAAGTTAGCACAGTGAGTCAGCAGCATATTTGCTCATCAGCTACTCCTCAGGGAGAGAAAGGAAAGCCTCGCTCTCCCATTCATCATGTCCTATATTGATTCACCTGGTGGGGGACCGTGGCTGTTCCTCACACCCATTATTTCTAAGAAGAGTTAAGCCCAAAAAGCTTTAGGGACCTACATTTCAAAATAAAAAGAACATCTTCAAAAGAAAACACATTTGGAAGCAATACTTTGATTGTAAATCCCTTTTAATCGCAAAGGAAAATATAAAAACTGGTGGGGTTTTTTTTCTCTAAATAAAATCACATTTTCAAAAGGTTGAAGGATTCTTTCAAAAAGAAATGTGTTGCACTGCATATATATGAGAAGTCTAGTCTTCATTTCTAGCTTTGTACTGCTCATGTAAACATCAGGTTACTTCTCTCCTCTGAGGTTCCCTTGTTTGTTTGTTTGTTTGTTTCCATGTACACAACTTGTTTCTAAAACCACCAAGACAACCAGATGTAGTTACTATCCATGCTTGGGCCATGTGACACTAAAAATCCAAACTCAAAACTTATTTCACAACTGTTTTCCACTCCACTTAATTTTTTTTTTCCTTCAATTTGTTCAATGTGAAGCTAAAGGCAGATTTAGCTATTGCTAACCATTTTCTCACCAGGACAAATCTGCAGTGGCAAAAAAAAAAATTTATATGTGACAGAATGTGAATTCTTACTCATGAATGCACTCATCATTAAGTGGGTGATTCCGGACTGTTCTGCTTCTGGTTCTTCCCTATAGTTATCAAGACTAAACAAACTTCCTGTTTGTTTCTTTGGTTTTTCTGGTTTCATTTTATTCTGAGAGGTAGAGAGATCTTCCTTTCAGTTTTCATTCCTCATACACCTGCCATGGCCAGGACAAGGCCTGGCCAAAGCCAGAAGCCTGAAACCCAATCCAGGTCTTCTACATGAGTAGCAGGGATGCAACTATCTGAGCTGTGACCTCTTGCCTCCTGGGAAGGATATTAGCAGGAAGTGTGAATCAGGAGGGGAGCTAGGAATTGCACACAAAGACCCTAATATGGGAAGGGGGCATCGTAACTCATGTCTTCACCCCTGAGCCAATGCCCTTCCCGCTTCTGCTTTTAATAAGAGGATTTAGCCTACCATTCTGCTAAATCTCTTCCCAGTGGTGACTTCAGGCCTGGATCTCTGTGAAAGAAGGCAGAAACTTTAGACATCATAAACCTTCCCACCACAAAGAGTTCTGGAGACTATGTATTTATTCAATATAGTCAAAGGTGGTCAAACATCCTGTAAATAGGAATTACTTTACCTAATTTCATCTTTCCAATGGGGTAATAGTATCTAACTCATAAGGATTTTTATTATAAACACTAACTCAGCACATCAGATACCCAAGTATCTTGCCTTAGCATTCTCTTGAAACAACTTATACCACTGAATAATAACCATCTCATGCAATCTGGCAGCCAGGAGGAGCAATATAATTTGGAGGGAGCAGTAGAAAAAGAAAATGCAAAACTCCTTTCCTAAAATTGTTAGGAATTTCAGGACAACTATGTGAGTGCACCAAACCAAGCAAAAGGCCTTGTGCACTTACACAGGCTCCGCGCCCACAGCTCTGGTCCTGCTTGCAGCTCCTCCCCTCAGCTATTCCAGTCATTGCTCCTTTTTCGCCCCAGGGTTACCCTGACACCATGGCACTAGTACCTGTACAGTCTGGAAATCTGAACACATTAGAATCGTGGGGCAATCCTGGGGTGGTGGTGGATAGGGCTGTGGAGGAACACCTTCCTCCTTCATCGCTCCCAGGGACAACAGAAATTCAATGTGACTCCTCCGAGAATGCAGTAGGATGGAGCCTTAGCTATCCATGGTGCTAAAAACCCTGTCCATGAACCTGCGAAATGACATTCCCTCTGCACATGTGGTCTTGTCTCAGACTCCCTTTTCAGGCTTAGATAAGGCCATACCTTTGGCAGAACCCCATGTAAAATTCTGCTTCACTAGATTTCTCTCTCTCTCTCTCTTGCTGCATTGCAAGTCAGTGACCAGAAATAAATAAATATCCAACTCTAGCCTTAGTCCAGAAGAAGAAAATAAAAATAGATCTTAATTTGCTCCCTCCCAAACATCCACCCTTCTTCAATATTATATACTTACATGTTCTTTAAAATCCCTTATATCAGCTTCTAGATATTTCTTTTATTGAAGTCCTGTTTTTTCTGACATTCATTTGGCCTTGATTCTGTAATAATCGCACTAGCAGAGAAAACATGATCATGTCCCAGGCTCTAAATAGGGTAGGAGAGCAAAATTCATGATTTTACCAATAATACCATAAACCAATTTAAAGGAAGTAAAGTACTCTCAAGATACTACTTTAAAAGAATAAAAGACAATTGGATTTTCAGCCAGCTAAAAATCACATTCCGTTAACTATAAAAATTTTTGGTTGCTTTATATTACATGTTATCATTTTGTCCTTTACTTTCTCAAAATAGTATCCTTTCTCCTCTGTTACACATTAGCACAGTTATTCATATAACCTCTCTATAGAACTGCATCAGAATGAAAAACTTATCAAACAGCTTCTCCCAAAGTGACCAACTACCCAGTCTGACTTTTGCCACTTGCTACATGCTCACCCTTAGACAAATTGCACTAATAATCCAAGAAGGTCCAGGTTGATACTATGCCAGATTATTAGATTATTATATACTGTTGGGAATTACACTATCAATATACAGATATTAAAATATATCTCCACTTCCATTATCAAATCCACTGTACTACATTTTGATGCCTTGTTATAAAAAGTTTTATAAGGCTGGCACAGTAGCATTACAGGCTAACCCTCTGCCTGCCAGTTGTTAGCATTCCATATGCACACTGGTTCAAGACCTGGCTGCTCCATTTCCCATCCAGCTCCTACCTGTAGCCTACGAAAGCATTAAGGAAGCCCCAAGTCTTTGGGACCCTGCACCCAGGTGGGAGACCTAGAAGAAATTCCTCGCTCCTGGCTCCTCACTTCAGACTGACTCAGCTCTGGTGGTTGTGGTGACTTGAGGAGTGAACCAATGAACAGATCTCTGTGTCTCCCATTCTCTCTATATAACTCTGAGTTGCAAATTAAAATCAATATTTTTTAAAAAGTTTTACTACATAGTCAACATAACAGAACATAGTATTCAGGCCCAGCACCATAGTCCAGTGGCTAAAGTCCTCATCTTGAACACACAGGATCCCATATGGACACCAGTTCGCATTCCAAATGTTCTACTTCCCATCCAGCTTCCTGTTCGTTGCCTGGAAAAGCAGTCAAGGACAGCCCAAAGCCTTGGGACCCTGCACCAACCTAGGAGACCTGGAAGAAGCTCCTGGTTCCTGACTTCGGATCGGCTCAGCTCTGGCCATTGTGGCCACTTGGGAAGTAAACCATCAGATGGAAGATCTTCTCTCTCTCTCTGTAAATCTGCCTTTCCAACAAAAATAATAAAATCTTTATTTAAAAAAAAGAACATAATATTCTAGAATCCACTGAACACAAGAGGCATCAGAATACTAGTAAATCAATAGCAATAAATACTTTATAGATCAGTTTGATGTTTCACAGTGCACTTGCTAATCTGTTAGTAAATAAGTTAATTGGGGGAAGCAGTTCAAATGCCAGCTGGAATGATCAGATCCCTCAATAGAGTTCCTGATTCAAGTTCTGAGTCCAGCTCCCAACTCCAGCTGTTTACGATGAGAGCAGGGAGCTGTAACAGCTCAAACAATTTAGCTCCTGACCGTTATGTGGGAGACCTGTATTTTTTTTTCCTCCTTTCCTCCCATCCCAGTCGTAACCATTGTTGGTATTTGTAAACGAAAGCACTTTCTCTACCTCTTTGTCCTTCCAAAATAAGTAAATAAAGAAATTTTAAATTTTTTAAAAAGCTCATTCATTGCAGTATATTAGGGTACTTACCATGCTTATTTGGGTGCTAATGCAATGGCTCAATTGGCTAATCCTCTGCCTGCCAGGACTAGCATCCCATGTGGGTGCTTGTTTGTGTTTCGACTTCTCCACTTCCCATTCAGATCCCTGCTTGTGGCCTGGAAAGGCAGCAGAGGATGACCCAAAGCCTTGGGATCCTGGGCACTCATGGCAGGCAGAAGAAACGTTTGGTTCCTGGCTCCTTTTCATGCAGTGGCTGCTCCTCTGATGAGACAGATGCATCACTGATGCATTGATGTCAGCAAAGCACGAGCTCCACACAAGCGTTGACGTGCGGAGTCCCTGACCACCTTCCTGGCCGTGGAGCCCTCGCCACCAGCACGGCCCTCCTGGTCTTCAGCTGCATGCAGAGCTCCTTCCTTCTCTCAACGACAACTCAGTGTTGAACATGCCTTTGTTTGTCTACAAACTATTAACAAAAGTCAATATGCCTTTTTAATTACAGGCAAATGTGCTACTTTGGCAACATAATTAAACAAATATTTGACTCATTTATTTAATGTCAATTTTGTTTATTCCTGGGAAATGTTCTCGTTCTTATTTATACCTTATAACATCTGTGTGTGATAGGCTTGGTATAATTTTTCCAACTATACCTCTCGGACAGGGATGATTGATGACCTCTGCAGCTGGGTCTCTCCCTCCCTCTTAATTTTGCTTTCATTTTGAAAACAGCATTCATCCATTCCTGACGGCTCTATGACCCAAGCATCTTCCATTTGGTCTCACTACCCAGTCTTGCTGCAATAATAGATTTCACCATGAATCTCGAAAGAAGAAACTATACCCATATCAGAGCATAGAGATGTTAAAATTCACCCAATTGTAAAAACAAAACATTACAAAAAAAATCCCTAATTAAGTGACTGGTTAAACAAATGTGAATATGTGCATTCAAAGAAATACTCTGCAGCTAAAAAAAAAACTAATGAGAATGCTCTTTTCCTAACAATCTGGAATGGTTTCAAAATTAAGTTTTAAAAAACCATGTGAAGGTTGTTACCACTTATATGAAAAGAGAAAATATGATAGTCTACATAAATGTTTGTTCACATATTCATAGAACACTTTGGAAGGAATATTTGTAAAGCTGATAGCATCGTTTGCCACCCCTCCTGTAAAGCAGTTGGGTATCTGAGGAATGGAAGGCCAGGGAAGCTTTCATTATATGCAGTTTTAGAACCACATAAATATATTTCCTGTACAAAAAGTAAATATGACTTAGATTTTTAAAAACATTTTTGGCTGAGCATCAAGAGCTCTGATAATTATTTCTATCTCAGCCTCTGTGGTCTCAAAACATTGCAGTCCTTTGTGGCCCATTATTCCCCTCAAAGAACAAGAAAGACTAGCAGATCTATAAAGTTCCCTCTAATTTTGATGTTGTAGGCATGGGTAAGAAATCATGGCTTTAGTGAAGAAACAGAACACTACTTTTATATACTTCATATATAATCTGGTAACTCTGGCCCATATATACTATTGCAATTTCATTTTTTTAAGAGGTATACAGCAAGGCCTGAGGGCTGCACTAACACTCCCATGCCCTTCTTTCAAACACATGACACCAAAATAGTCTTTATGAAAAACTGGAGATTCATGTGAATAGTCCCAGTAAACCACACACCATGCAAGCAGTTGTCTAAAGTTTTATTTATTTCTATTGGAAAGTCATATATACAGAGAGGAGGAGAAACAGAGAGAAGATCTTCCATCCAATGATTCACTCCCCAAGTGACTGCAATGGCTGGACCTGAGCCAATCCGAAGCCAGGAACCTGGAGCTCTTCCGGGTCTCCCACACAAATGCAGGGTCCCAAGGCTTTGGGCCGTCCTCTACTGCTTTCCCAGGCCACAAGCAGGGAGCTGAATGGGAAGCAGGGCTGCTGGGATTAGAACCAGCACCATATAGGATCCTGGCACTTTCAAGGTGAGAACTTTAACCACTAGGCCGGGCCCTAAGCAGTTGTCTATAATTCTCCAATTCAGAACTCCAGAAGGCAGGCGTTCCTCACTTCTTAATGCAGTCTACTTACAGAATGCCAAGGGCCCCAAAGTCAGCCCACCATTATACTGGAGGGAAATCTGCTTTATTCAGTATGGAAGTATGCAGGTTTATATCTGTGCATACCAAACCTAGTGACTCATGTGTAAGTTAGTGGTTTAGAAGCTGGCACTACACAGCATTAAGTCTACTTATGATGGAGAAAAAGGGCCAGGAGCACAGTTACTACAACTACACAACACTAAAAGAAACTGAACAGGTCCGGCACAGTAGTCTAGTGGCTAAAGTTCTCACTTTGCATGCGCCAGGATCCCAGGGACTGGGAATCTGACAAGACCCATCAGTGTGGTAGGGGATGAGTTCCTGAACCCCAGCAACAGGAGAACCAGTGGGGTTTGGGTCACTTGGCCCAGATTCCATGACCTGCCTTCTAGGTGGGTGTTGGTTTCATGAATCCCAGGGGTGGGGAGTCTAGTGGGGCTTGAGTCTCCTGGCCCCAGTCCCAAGGTCCACCTGCTAGGCCACCTGCTAGGTGTGAGGGATTTAGCAGTGCTCAGGTCACCTGGCCTGGTCTCAGGGCCCACCTACTAGGAGAGTGCCAGGTTTGTGAGCCCCAGGCATGGGGGATTCAGTGATGCTTGAGACACCTGGTCCAGCTACTTGGACTCACCTGCAAGAACATGCCCTACTTAATGAATAAGTCACAGCAGTAGACACAGGCCCTGTTGTAAAGGAGAATATGGCAGCACATTTGGTGCTGTAGCAGAAGGAGGAGAACAGAACAAGCTACACAACTACCCCAAACAAACGATGACAGCAAAAAATATCAGTGAATAGAGCCAAAGGACATTGGGAGGGTGACATCATCCTTGGAGCAGTGGAACTGGCTGCATTTCTGCACTATCCAAACCACTTGGACAAAACCCTCAGAATATGTACACATTGAGACTCTGGGTTGATGTGAGGTGGCGGTTCCACATCCCTGGGTACTGGGACATGTGTAAAGTTGTGAGTGATATTCCCATTTATTCTCCCCTTCCCCAAGAAACAAGAAATAGCAAATTTGGAAGCAATGAATTCACCCAATTTTCCCTAAACCTAGATCCTTCCCACCCTGATCAACCATGTAATCATTATTTTATCTAGAAAAAAAAAAAGTAAGCAAACAGGCCCAGCACAGTAGCCTAGCAGCTAAAGTCCCTGCCTTGCACATGTCAACTAGTTCGTGTTCCAGCAGCCCTGCTTCCCATCCAGCTCCCTGCTTGTGGCCTGGGAAAGCAGTCAA